GGGAACTCCGCTCAACAAACGCGAGCCCTGCATGCTAAAAAGCAGGAAAACAAACTCGGCCGCTGTTCGATGTGCCAAAAGAGGCATTTCATAATGTTTTGTGCCGCGTATAAAGGAAAGACTGCCGCGGAGCGAAAGCAGCACATTGAGGCGAGTAATTTATGCTTCAATTGCCTCGGGAAGCATAAACTGAGCGAATGCGTGTCGACGCGGACCTGCTCTGTATGCGATGCCCGACATCATACGAGCCTCCACGACGCGTACTCCGGCGGAGAGGTGGCTAAGACTTCGCATCTCGCGCAGAAAACCCTCGAGAAGCCGGTGGCGGTACTTCTCGCTACCGCTCGTATCCGCGTGCGCGATCGTTTCGGGATAGAGCACACCGCGCGAGCGCTCGTCGATCAAGGCTCCGAATTATCTCTCGTCTCGGAATCGCTGGTACAGCGATTGAAACTGCCCCGCGCGCCTACCTCGGTCGCGGTGTTCGGCGTCGGCGGGAAGCGTACGGGTCGCGCTCGAGGCCTCGTGGCCTTGGATATCTCGCCTCGAGACGGCGGGCCAGCCATTTCGGTGTCGGCCTTAATTCTACCTCGGCTCACTCTCTACGGCGGCGGAGTCTCTGCGGATCGTGCGACGTGGCCGCATCTCCGCGGGCTAGAGCTTGCCGACCCCGACTTTGCGGCCTCGGACCCGGTGGAAATTCTGCTTGGAGCTGATGTATTCGCCGCGATCCTCCAGCCGGGCTTGCTAAAGGGCGAACCGTTCGAGCCGGTCGCACAAAGAACGACGCTGGGATGGATTATCTCGGGCGCCGCCGGTCAGGCGACCTGCGCTCAGAGATCGACGACTCTGCAATGCCACATCATTGAAGATCTTTCCAGCATCGTGAAGAGATTCTGGCAGCAGGAAGAGCTACCGGGCGGCGTACTCGCGCTGACGCCCGAAGACCGTGAGTGCGAGAACTTCTTCTCCCTCACACATTCCCGGAACGCGGACGGTCGTTACATGGTGAGACTCCCGATCGTGGACCAGTTGCCCGATCTCAGGGGAACGCGCAGCTCGGCCTTACGAGCCCTGGCGCACATGGAGAGACGATTCGCCCGAGATGACAAATTGAAGCAGCTGTACGTCGAGTTTATGCGGCAGTACGAGGAGCTTGGACACATGACGCCGGTGGCTCCGGAGGACAAAACGAAGAGACGTGTGAGCTACCTTCCACACCACGGCGTGATGCGCGAGGCGAGCACCTCGACGAAGCTGCGCGTCGTGTT